GGAGAAGTACATAAAACAGAACGCACGCTCTTAGCCATTCCTGAGTGTGCAGCCCATGGTACCAAGCACCTACACCCTGTCATGCAGTCACCAACACTTAAACTCTGGCTTTCCGTGCCCTCCCCAGCTGTCTACTTTCCGCCTCTATGAATTTGACAGCTCCAGGAACCGTCTAGACGCACACGCACGAAGCACTTGTCCCCTTGTGACTAGCTAGCAGCCTCAGCCTTCCACCCTGTTGCATGGAGCACGTTTCTGAGCTCAGTGACAACGTGGAGGTAGACGGTCCCCACACAGCTGGGCTGCACCACAACTGACTGTTGGAAGGCTCTCGGAGCACTGCACAGGTCTTTGCTCCTGGGCCCTGTCATGAGGCCCAAGGACCAAACGGTGCTTGGAAGCTGCTTAAATGGGCCAGTCTAGGGCTCAGGTGGGGAGTGATGCCTTGGTGGGTAATCTCAGAGGTGGATCATGGTTCCATCGGGTGAGGTTAGGCCAGGAAGTGGGGTAAGAGCTGGCTGACCTCAGAAGGGCCAGGGCCAGGCAGGGAGGAGGCCGTGTTTCAGAACACTCAGCAATGCCTCTAGAAGGGCCGACCTGAACTCAGCGTTTCTCTGCTTGCTCCTGCAGAGGACGCAGGGTGCCAGAGACTCACTGGTCAAATGCCTGACTTCTCTCCTGATAACTGGGTAGGTCAGCATTGTGCCTCAGTTTCCTTGTCTGCAAAATGGGCATAGCAATTAGAGGGCAAAGCGACCAGATGTCTGCAAGCTTCTTTTTTTTTTTTTTTTTTTTTTTTTTTTGGTTTTTCGAGACAGGGTTTCTCTGTTTTGTTTTGGAGGCTGTCCTGGAACTTGCTCTCTAGACCAGGCTGGCCTCGAACTCACATAGATCCGTCTGCCTCTGCCTCCCGAGTGCTGGGATTAAAGGCGTGTGCCACCACCGCAGGAGAGTGCAGGCCAGGTAGGAAGTTCCTGAAGGAGGACATCCTAAGCTGAGTGGATGCAGGCACTTCCTCTGCCACATTCCCAGGGCTTGGGATCTGTCACTCAGTGGGCGCCCGCTGGCTTATGATCTAGCCTGGGTCACCAGAAGTTGAGAAGAGAAAGTAAATGGGCAGAAGTGAGGGTGCTCACAACAAGGCCCCCCCTCACGGGAAGGGGAGGAAGAGCCTCGGATGCCCCAGAGACCCATGGCCATGGTCAGAACCCACTAGGTGGAGAGGCGTCATGGGAGTCTGGGAAGTCATCCCCCCCCTGCAGGACGTTCCACCTTCACTGTGGGAGGCCCCAGGAATGGGGACAGGGCCAGTGGGCTCAGGGCCACTTCTGTGGGTGGAGGGAGGCTATCCAAGACCACTGCCTTGACTCTTGACCTGCCTGGGGCCTAGCATTCCAGCCAAATCCCCCGAGGAGGTGGATTGAGGACTCTGTCCCCAGGCTCTGGCCCTAGCCAAGGCAAACACACCACCCACTCCAGAGGAGGCATAACTGAGCGGAAGCTGGGATAGTCAGGAGCCTTGGGGCTACTGCGGGCCCAGCAGGGTCCCTGGTCCAGTTCCTAGTTGAGCCAGGTCTTTCCATGCTTAACATCCACGGTTTTCTTCCCTCCTCTGGCTTTCCTTAACTCTTAGCACCTCCAGGCCTTCAAAGGCCTGTGCTGACCCCGCCCTCTCCACCAGCTAAGGCTTCTGTGCCCCCATGTGTATTATTCTCAGAGCTGATTCTTCCCACAGTGTCGTACGGCTGGCCTGCGTCATGGGCATAGATGTAGTCTCTTTTTTTTTTCGAGATAGGGTTTCTCTGTATTGTTTTGGAGGCTCTCCTGGAACTCACTTTGTAGACCAGGATAGCCTCGAACTCACAGAGATCCACCTGCCTCTGCCTCCCAAGTGCTGGGATTAAAGGCGTGCGTCACCAACGCCCGGCTCATAGATGTAGCCAAAAATCAAAGTCACAGGCTCCTAAAGTACTGGGCAGGTGAGTGCCAGTGGTCTATCTGGCTACTCCCCTGCCCCCGCTTGGGGGCTTGGGACCCAGCTGCATGGTCCTGGGGGAGTCCTGACAATCTAAGACAAGAGGACACCGAGAGCCACCACACCGGTTTCTTCTAGGATGGAGGCGCAGAAGCTCAAGGCCAGCCTGTCCCTTCTACTGTGTCCTAAGAGCAAACAGCGGAGGTCTGGATGTGAACCATTCTTTGCCCTGTATGACCCTGAACGACTGACCTTATCCTCAGAGTCTCAGTTTCCCCATATGTGAAGAAGAAATTCTGCACACACACACCCCTCCCTGAAATGCTGGTCAGAGTGTCCTTGATGCAGGCACAGTCACTATCTGGTCCTTGAACAGTCTGTCACCCCACGGCCCCTCTATTTCCTCCTCTTCCTACCCACCGCTCACCCCAGCCCCGCTGTCTTCTCCGGGCCTCGGTGAAGCACTGAGAGTGGCCAGCCCCACCATCCCCACTGTGGCCTTTCATCCCAGACAGGAAGGCCTGTCTCCACAGCAACTGCGGGATAGGATCTGGACCAGATGTCAGGAGCTGCGGGGAGCTGGGAACGCTGTGACCCCCATCCCTGGCTGACCTCCGCCTCCTCTTCCTCCACTCCTCACCCCCACCCCCTCCAGGGGATGCTGGCCAGAGCTGCCTCCCCCTTCCTCCTCCCAGGAGCTTTCGTGAAAGGGGAGGGAGACCCAGCAAACAGTGGCACTAGAGGCCTGATGGGTGTCACCTCAGCTAACGGCCAGGGGACTCCTAGATGCCATGAGTCTGACTTAGCTGCAGCAAAATTAAGATACTTGGCCCCAAACACAGCCAGGCCCTGGGACCAGATGTCTTTTGGAACCGGATGAGCCCTTATTCCCTGATACAGCGCCACCCAGGGCGTTCTGCTCATCCATGAGGGCCATGGTGGCTCCAACCTGAGCACCGGAGGCCGTCTCACTGTCCTTAGAGGCAGCGACTTCTGTTTTTCCTAGTTTTTGTTTGTTTGTTTTGAGACAGGGCAAGGCTAGCCTACTCCTGCTTCTCCTGCCTCTACCTTCTGAGTTTTATCAGTGCTGGGGATCGAATCCAGCGCCTGTGTACACTAGGCAAGTACTCTACCAACTGAGCTACTTTCCCAGTCCTGTTCTTGTCCCCCAGTACAGGCAGGGAAACTGAGGTGCAACACGGAATCCCAGCTTCCCAGTAGTGACTGTGCTGTGCCTGAGTCCGAAGTACCATTGCATGATTACTACCCTGTCCTGCTTTCAGAACCAACAAGAGAACACTGAACTGGCCCAGTGCCCAGGATGCAGTGCGGCAATGCCGTTCATTCGTTCCTTCATTAATGGTACACTCTTCTAGCCTTCTTTCTGCCTACGAGCCTGGTGCTGCCCAGTAGGATGGGTGCTGTCCTCTAGGCGCTGGCCTGAGGGAGGGCCCACCATATGCATGTGCCTTGTACATGTGTAAGCGTGTGAAGTCTTTGTTCACATTCACAGCCCAGGATCTGTGCCTGGAGGCCGCTTGTTGAAGCATCTAAAGAGCGCAGGAGCACTTATCAGGCGTAGCACAAGCACTGCCACGAACAGGACTGTCCCCCTAAGGCAAACACAAGGCTTCCCACTCCGTCTCCATCTGCCCCGCCCCTGGTGCCTGAGGTCTGAACCCCCTCCTTGGCGTCTGGATTTCATGGGCACATGTGACAGCCTTTGTCAGAGAACACTGTGTCTCCCTCACGGATCCCCACCCTGGCCTTGGGGTCTTGCCAGGTCCATCAGCCAACTCCCCTAGCTTCCTGCTTCCTGTCTGGGCAGACCCCACCTCACCCAAGTCCCACCTCCTGCTCCAGTCAGTCAGAGAGACCCTGTCCTCACTCCTGGGAACCAGGTTCGGGATGCAGGAGGAATGTGCCGCCCTGTGCGCTGAAGGGGTTAGATATCCTCCCAGCTCTCTTTTAAAGGGCAAGGCCATTTCCCAGCCCTTGTCAGGGCTTTGCCACCCCTGTCTAGGAAGAAGCAGCTTAGTCATGAGTGGTACAGCACATGCCAGGTTTACACCCTGTCCCGAGCGTCAGTTAGCAGAACACTTAACCTCTCTGAGTTTCCAGTTTTTCATGGGGACAGAGTTCATCGTCTGTCATCCAAACTCAGGCTCCAGGTGTGTTTTGGCATCCAGGACTTCTCGGGGTATGATTATGAGAATGTCTGTAGCTAAGCGATGGAGTGCTTACCTAACGGGCTTCATTATGGGGCCATCGGCTGTACTCAAAAGAGATTTCAGTAGCAAAATGTATGAGTATTGGCTCTTATTGGGATACCCAAAGTTATAAAAAGCCTCGGGTCAGGGTTAGTGCCAAAATGAGTTATGAAAATACCAAATCCAAGTTATCAAGGCTTTGGAAGATTTGCAGTGTCCAGGACATAGCAAGGAACCCAAGGAGGACAATGGGTTCTTCTGAACTTGGAGTGGGCAGAGATTATTCTAGCTTCAGGGTAGAATTGGGGTCCTGGGTTCCCACCCCTGGGGACCTAATGCTCCACAGGCTGGGTGCAGCCATCATGAGTAAGAGAGAGGGGCCATGCCAAATACCCGGGGTGGCTATCGGGTGCAGGAGGAAACTGACTGTCCTGCCCGGGGTGCTGCAGCATACACATTGGGTGGCAGCTGTCCTAACTCCCATCCCAGGCTGCTCAAGACCTTGGAGGTCCACGGTGCCTTTGAAGCTGACCAGATTAGGAGTCCCTGCCTAGACCTGGTCATTATGGAGGTGTCACCCCCAACTACCCTAACAGTTCTTCCTGGGAATTGTTGCTGCGCCCAGTTCCATAGCTCTGGGAAAGCTGAGGGGAGCTTTCTGCTCCCGGAAGCCCTTAGGGGTGTCCCTTGGGCTGGTCTCCTGCGGCTCAGAGGCGGCAGGTCCTGGGTTCTGCAGCCTGTCCCAGGTGCACAGCCCTCCTTCTCTGCCAGGGCCTCCATGGGATGGAGACAAGGTGGCAGGAGACACACGCTTACCTAGGCGCAGGGTAAGGTTAACTGAGGTGGGGTACTGCACCCCGAAGGCCATGGACGGGCTCTGCCACCAAGTGCTGTCTTCGGGGTTGTGGAAGTCTGTAAGGTAGGAGGCGTCGTGGCGGAGCTGGGGGTCTGCATCGTCGCAGCGCTGGCACTGTGGCCCGGCGCCTGGAGCCCCAACGTGCGGGCAGAAGTCCTCTGGGGGCCGTCCACATGTGTGCGAGGCCTCGGCGCGTCGGCCGAAAGCCGCGTTCTCGAACTCAGGCAGACAGCGCTGTGCGCGACCCGCGCCGTCGTAGCAAGAGCCCATGCCCGCACCGGCTGCGCAATGCGCCTCTAGCATCGTCAGGACCACCAGGGACACCAGCGCCACCAATGCTGCCATTGCCAGGCAGGAGAGGACCCTGGACACAGCCTTGCCTGCGCCCCGCTCCGTGCTGCTGCGTCCCGATCCTCTCTGCGCCTGCCTGCCGCGTTCAGCGCTAGGCTTCTGGGCTCCACTGGCCCCGCAGCCCTCCCCTGCAGGCGGACCCGACGGCATCTGAGGGCGGGACCCAAGCAGACAACACCCCACCGCCCAAGTTCAGTCCCTTCGTGCTCACTCCCACCTGCTGGACGTGCCCGGGAGTGCCTGCTTGTTCTGGCTAGGCTTTGGACAGGGACTCTGAGCCTGACCCGTAGGCCTCTCCGCTTCATTCATTCGGCTAGTGGGACGTTTCTAGGGAAGACAAGCGCATGTGAGCCCTCCTGAGTCAAAAGGCAAGGCAAGGCCAGGTCTTCACCTGGCAGAATGACCTCGGGGAGTTTCCCTCCATACTTGCCGGCATTTCTCCTTCAAAAGTGCTGCCACTCCGGGCTTCTTTTCCCCAAGCTGCTATTTTCACCTGGGATTTACCAAGGAACTTCCTCTTAACAGAGGCCTCCTTTTCTCTCCACCAAGCTTACGTCCTTCCCGAAGCAGCTGCGGGCCCTTGTAGACAGTGAAATAAAATGAACCCATGGCAGGGACAGCCCTGAGCTGGACGCTGTCAGGCCCACAAGGCCTAGGGTGGAGAGGTCCAGCAGGGGTCCAGCCCTGCGTGGGAGTTAGGGTCAGGGTTAGGGACGTGGGTCTCTTGGGGTCGGGCACCAGTGGTCCAGAGTCCGGCCAACTGCAAACCTGTGGCGACCACCGTGTGCTGCTCCCTCTGGGACTTCCTCCCTCACACCCATAGACGGGGTCACAGGGGTTCCTTGCATGGACAGCTGGTGGGACGGAAAAGGCCAAGCTGGTTCATGATCGGTGCACAATTGCAGGATGAAAATGGACCGGGCTGCCCCTCTGAGTGACACTTGGCTGGTCCCGCAGGAGGGGCGGAGCTGGAGACAATGATGAGGACGGGTCAGACTGAGGAGGCCAGAGCAGACTCCCCCCCACACACACCCCTAAAGACTCCCAATCAAGGACTCAGCTTGGGTGAGGCTCTCGGTTACTCTCTCAGTTCAACCTACGAGGCTTTTATTGATTTGCTTGAGGGACTGAGTAGGCGAGGATCCACGCTGCGTGACACAGAAGCCATTAACCACGTGGTATTCGGGTCCTTTCTGTACCACCCATGCGGCAGAACCCACCGCCTCTCACTAAGACTGTCCCTGAGTCTTCTCCACCCAGCTGCCCCTGTAGCCAGGCTCCCCAGGGCTGCCTTCTGCCCTTCTGACTGAATGTTCTGGAATACATGAGGTCCCAGAGAAGGGAGGGTTTGCCTTACCTATTTCACCTCTGCAGCCTGTGTGCTAGCCATAGCCCCAGTGGCATCCTGTCCGTCCCCCCCTCTCCGGGGAGTGGGGAGGGGCTTCAATCAGAGCCAGCAGAGGTGGCTGGCTGCACTGTCGTGGTGGCAGGTGCTTCCCTGGGAGCAATGTTCTGTGTGGCATCCCCTCAGGCCCTCCCAGCCTTCCCTTGAGCACACAGATAAGTCCCATCAGAAATAGCTACATTGGAGCTGTGTGTGCAGCCCAGAGCCCAGATCCTCGACCCCGAGCACCGCAGTGAAGCGAGCACTGGTCTACACTAAAATACAGCTCCATCACCCTGCAAGGCTGGCTGGACGGGCTTGGGCAAGCGCCATCCTCTGTCCATCCTCACTGTGCAGGCCTTGGGGACGCTGGGGTGAGGCACGTTTGGCTCTTGCCCCTTGAAAGTACCCAGCTTGCTCATGGCGTGGCGTGGGGCTGATACCATGGCACCCTGCTTCAGCCTCTTCCCTTCACCAGGACCTGCTCTCCACCCCAACAGGCTGGCCTGCCTGCTCGTCCCCCGGCCTTGGTGGGATGAGCAAGGAAAGGTCATCACCGAGGACACCTGCACCCGAGAGGCATGCTTGTGGAATGCACAGGACTCCAGCCTGGATTGGGGGCCTGGGACAGAGGTGATGGCCTCTTTCAGGGCCAGCTAGATGATCACCATCTGGGCCAGCATCCCTGCCTTGGCTGGTGACCTCAGCGGCCGGCCTTAAAGGCACCCAGGTGCTCTGCTTCCCTTTCTCTCCTCCAGTCCCCAAGGTGTACAGCATGCACCACCAGGTGGCGCCATTGGCTATAGCACGGGAACAGGCCCCTCTTGCCCCCTAGAGGCCAAGAACATGGTGACCCTCGCTTGCACCACTGTGTAGTGTTGACCAGCAATCAGCTAAGGACAGACCTGAGAAGGGAATGAAGTCCAGGGGAGGTTGCCTGCCCCATTCTCCTCCAGCCCTGCCCTTGCCACCTAGGCTGCACACGGCAGGTGTCCGGGCGTGCCAGCCTGTAAATGACAGGAGTGACTCCTGCTCCAGGGGCCTGCAGGAGTGACTGCCGGGACACCCAGCAGGAGGGGGGCAGAGCCAGGCCTCCGGCTGCCTGCGGGCCTTCAGTCTTTCACCCACTATCAGGACAGACACTAGCTCCCACGCTCACCCAAAACTTGGGGAGTCTGTGTGCAGGCTGCACAGTCCAGCCTAGGTGCGGACACCGCCAGGTGAGGGAAAGTGCCCGGTCGGCTTTCATCCTGCCTTCCTGTGAGGGCTTGAGGCTGAGAGACACCCGACTCCCCGAGTCTTGGGATCCAGTGAACCTGTAAAGTCACTGAGGTTTGGGGCCGGGAACTGGGGCCTTTACCGGGGAAATGACACGTCAGGACAGAGATCGATGGGGAGGGGCCCAGAATCCAGTGTGCCTCCAACACACAGGGGATCTGTGCACCCCGAAGTCTCAGGGCTCTCAGGATGTGGGTGACACTGGCGATAAACTTATCTACAGCAGCTGGAAAGGGCTAAGTGAGGCAGCTGAGGACGGCCTGTGTGCAATGATGGCCACCTGTCCATCAAGGAACTGTGCATTCAGGGCTCACTCCGTTCACCCCTGCGCCAACTCACACATTCACCCTTGCGGGGGTGGTCTACCCTGCTCCAACTCACACATTCACCCCTCCGGAGAGTGGTCTACCCTGCACCAACTCACACTTCACCCTTGCGGGGGGGTCTACCTTGCTCCAACTCACACATTCACCCTTGCGGGGGGGAGGAGGGTGGTCAACCCTGCTCCAACTCACACATTCACCCTTGCGGGGCAGGGGAGTAGCCTACCCTGCTCCAACTCACACATTCGCCCCTCCGGAGAGTGGTCTACCCTGCTCCAACTCACACTTCACCCTTGCGGGGCAGGGGAGTAGCCTACCCTGCTCCAACTCACACATTCGCCCCTCCGGAGAGTGGTCTACCCTGTGCCAACTCACGCGTTCACCCTTGCGGGGGGGGGGTGGTCTACCCTGTGCCAGTCTGTAAAGATGGGGTTGGAAGAGCTGCGGAGTGACTCAATAGAAGAGTGCATGCCTAGCATACACAAGGCCAAGGCTCCGAGGACGTCCAGTATCTGTCCCCTGATGCCAGGAACCCCAGCAATGTAACCCCAAACCCGGCGGCATGGCCCATCTCCCTCTAGCCTGGATCTTTGAGGCCCCATCTCAGAGCGGAGCCCTGTGTGGTGGTCCCTGTGCTCTGCTTTGAAGAGTGAAAGCCCCATCCCCTACCCAAGGCCATCCGCCCCTGCAAGGCCCTTGCAGACACCAGTTTCTGGAATCTCTGTCACGTGGCTTGCTAGCTTTGAAGCCTGTCTTCCAGGAGAGTTTTGTCTGGGATCTCTCTGGGAACAGCAACCTGGGAGGGGCTGTGTGGGCAGGGCTTGCATGTCTTTTTTTGTTTTGTTTGTTTGTTTTTTTTTCGAGACAGGGTTTCTCTGTATTGTTTTGGAGGCTGTCCTAGAACTCGCTCTGTAGACCAGGCTGGTCTCCAACTCCCAGAGATCCACCTGCCTCTGCCTCCCGAGTGCTGGGATTAAAGGCATGTGCCACCGTCGCCCGGCTGGGCTGGCGTGTCTTAAAGAGCAGGGCATGGGCAGGGGTGGGGTGTAGAGAGCAAGGGAGGTGAGGCCGTACTGGTGAGGGGACAGACTATAACAAGTAGGGCTCTGGTCTAGGCAAGGGCAGCAATAGGGAGCCTTGTAGGGTTCTGGGGTGACAGCATGCCAGGACCAGCTTCCTTGAGGAAGCTGGATGGGGTGGTCCCAGGAGTTCACACAGAGGTGCTGGCAGGTGGGCTCATCCCCACCTGTGTGGGGGGTTAGGCGCCTGTATGGGGGTGCAGGTCCTCTGTTCAGCCTCCCCTCCCCAAGCCCACCTACCAAGGGTTAAAACCTCCCAGGCAAGGAGGAGGGAGCAAAGCCTCCGTTGTTCTGATTTGCTTAATGAACGTTAATTAAGGAGACAGAAGATAGCTGACTCCTCCAGGCCCGAGATGAAAGACCTGTTAATTAAATCTAGGGAGATGCTGGGGCTGCTGATCCCTCCTGACAGCTCAGTGCAGCACACTGTTGGGGCTCAGAGTCAAGAACCCCCCACAGCCCAGCCTAGGGTCCTGGATGCCCAGGGAGGAACCCAGGACTGGGCCCCGACACGCTGAGGTCTCCTGGGTAGGGCCACACCCCAGTTCCCCTACATGAGCGATGAACGCGCCGCTCGGCTCCTGCACCTCAGTTTTCCCTTCTGTTTAGTGGGGCGCCACTTGCTCTGCATGCAGCCCCAAGAGCAGGGGAAAGAACTGGGGTCTGCTGCGGGTGTGGATGTGGGGGACCCCTGCAAGCCACAGCAAGGAGCAAGCCGCTCGGCCTTTCTGCTTTGCCCTGAATGCGTCTCTCACTGACTCACTCACTCCTCCAGGGCTACTGTTCCGTACCCACCCAAACACAATGGCCTCCGTGATGCCGGGGACATGGACTGTCAGCGACTTCACGAACCTCCCTGGAAAATCAGGGGGACAGGAGAGGACAGTGATCCAGGAAGCAAAGAGACAAGTTCAATGCTTTTATGTCTGTTGAGGAGCTTGGAGGAGCACCCGGGGGAGGCACAGGACAGGGCAATCTGGAAGGCTCCCTGGAGGAGGTGGCAGCCCGGCTGAGTCCTGTCACACGGGAAAAGGGGACATGGAGAGGCAGGGGTCAGACAGATTGGAGTGGGCAGGGCCCTTCAGCTGTCACCTCTGGGAGCATCTCATCTCAGGGAGGTAACGCCATCAGACAGGCTGAGGGACAGGGGTGTCCTGGGGGCATGTCATCACTCTGCCCAGTGAGCTTCTCACTGCTCCCAGCCACACTAGGCCCCCCGACGTGGGATGAGTCAGCTGTGGGTCCAGAGAGACGACGGAAGGTGCTCCTGGGGGTGCAGAGGCCTGGGCTGGGCGCAGGGGACCAAGGCACGAGGGATGATGGACGTGCCCCTGCGTTTGGGGGACCTGGAGAATAGCAATAATTTAACGAGGGGTGATGTGTCAGTCCCATCAGTGACAGTAAAGAAGAGGTGTCTAGCCTGTCTGGAGAGGTCAAGGAGGGCTTCCTGGAGGAGGCAAGGTGTCCGTTGGGTTGGAAAGGTGGCAGGGTGGGGAAGGCATCCAGGCAGAGGGAACAGCACGTGAGAGGCTCAGCGGTAAGAGAGGAACCCGGGCTGGGACAGAAACAAAACAGGAGTGGGATGGGGACCCAGTGGAGAGTGGTGGCCCAGGCAGGGGCAGGTGGGGGCCCAGGGTGACCCAAGCTTGTGGGGGGGGGCTTCCGTGTCAGGAAGGGAAGCTGGGCGTGGGTCCCCACTGCTGACTGTGCGCCTGACACGGAAGCTTGGGTTTGGACCAAGGAACACGGCCTAGAGAAGTCAGCACCTGTTTTAAAGTGTGCACGCTCGACACCATTTGAGGGAAGTGTCCAGAAGCCACTGGGTGCATCCTTGGGCGGGACTGTCTCCCTCTCTGGGCCCCAGAAGCCCTAGCTATAGGAGAAAGGGGGCAGCCTCTGGGGCTGTGTTAGGAGCAGCTTCTCCTTCCCATGCCTCCTCTGGGACCCCGGCTACCCTCTTCCCCTGAGGCGCCCTGCCTGGGACCTGGCTCATTCCCGCTTCCTCTGGTATCCAGTGGCCCTCCTGGGGGCTGGCACTCTTCTAGAACATGCTACGGGTTTGATGCGTCCTAGGAAGGGTATACACGAGGTGCTCAGTTAATCTCATGGGGAGGAGAAACGTGAATGAGGGAGCTGTAACGAGAGGGAGGACGGAGAGCAGGAGGCAGGCTGGGAGAAAGACACCACCGCCGTCAAGGTGGCTCCCGCCGCCCACTGTGGGGTTTTCCCCAGAGCCTTTGGCCCCTCAGAGGGGAGGTGAAGGCCAAGGGCAGGGAAGGAGCAGGCGGGCCCTTGACGGAAGTGATATAGAGCCGTCTCTGCTTCACGTGGCTGTATTTTGAAAACGTGAACTTTACAAATGTCAGAGGAAGGCGAGTTCCCGTCTGGGACCGCGCTGGGAACCGCTTAGCATTTGCATGGCTTTGCTAATGGGGCTCTTCTGGGTGGTGGGAAATTTATGTCCCGCCTGCTGGGGCCCCTGCTGAAGGCTAAGGCCAGGGGACACGGAAAATAAAACAGTGTGGATGCCAGATCTGAGTTCCCCCAAGCTGGTGAGCAGAGAGAGGGTGGGCAGTGAGAGGCAGTGATATTAGAGGTTCCTTCTGCCCCTCATGGTCATGGATCCCTCCTCAGGATGGCCCTGTCAGGGACACATTAGGCCATTTTACAGGAGTGGAAACTGAGGTTCCTGGAGGCCAAGTGACTCACATAGTCAGAGAGCCAGGCAGGAAGTGAGGCTACCTCCAGCCCTCCCATGAGGAACGGTATTAAAGGGTCACTCACTAACCCTAGGACAGTGGTTCTCGACCTTCCTAATGCTATGACCCTTTAATACCGTTCCTCATGTTGTAGTGACCCCTGACCATAAAATTATTTTTATTGCTACTTCATAACTGCAATTTTACTGTTATGAATTGCAATGTAAACATCTGATATGTAGGATATCTGATATGCAACCCCTGTTCAAGGGTTGTCCGATCCCCAAAGGGTGGAGAACCATACTGGTCCAGCATCCTTGGGTCTGTGTTGGGGGCTCCTGCTGGGTTGGGGGCATGGTGAACACACAGAAGCCAAGGCCACCCCTGTCCTCATGGTGGGGTCTCAGCTGAAGTTGCTGCCTTCCTCGACTGCACCCTTCTTTGCAACCCGATTTTCTCGGGTGACTTATCTTAAAGGACAGTTAAGGACGGTGGGACTTTCCAGTGGGCCTGGGGCCAGGGACAGGGTTGGGAATACATGGCATGTGGGGATCCGTGTTTGTGTGAATGTCTGTATATGCAGGCATGATGTATTTGAAGGTGGTGTGCATGGTGTGTGCATACACATGTATTTGGAAGAAAATATATATGGGTGCAGTGTGTGGGTGTATGAACACATGGTACATATGTATACACATGTTTATGTGTGCTGTGGAAAGCTATGCATGTAGTTTGTAACGTAGGTGGTGTAGGCATGTGTGTACATGCGGTATGACATGTAGGTATGCAAGCTCGTGTTGTGTCAATATGTGTCTGGTATGTTACTATGTGTATGAGGCTCTGGGGTACATGACACATGTGTGCTATATATGTATCCATCCATGCACCAAAGCTATCCTAGGACTCCTGTTCTGTCCTATTACACACTGGGGCGCTATTCCCCGTAGGGACAGTCCTGGGAGTCAGCTATTAGAGATTTCTGTCACCACCAAAATGGGGTCATTGATGGACGGACACTGCTGGTTCCCATAGCCATCAGCGCTCTGCCCTATGAGAGCCTGCATCTCTGTGCCTTGCTGTCTGGGCTCTTCTCGTCTCTAAACCTAAGGGGCTGGCACTCCTTCTCGGGGGACCTGAGCGTGTGGTATGGGTGACTCGGCCTGGGTCCTGGGGCTGACTGCCTCTGAGAGGACAGTAGTTATTCCCCAGAGCAGAGCCTCCTGTCAGGCCGCCTAGCACACATGCAGGAGGACCTGACAGGTGACAAATGCCAAGCGCCCGAGGTGCTCTCTGCCCACACGGGAGTCGGGACACCCTCTCCTTAGCCTCGAATGGAGGCAGGCAGAGGGCTATCACATCCTGGTGGCAGGCAGAGGACAGGCAGGGCAGGCTGCCAACTGAGGCCCCTAAATAACCGACTGACCGGCCCTTCTGCAGCTCATCCCAGCCGGGGGACAGGCTCCGGCTTCATAACGTGTGATCGATGGGCCTAATATGGGATTGGAGACGCCGGGCTGGCAGCCCCGGCCTGGCCTGCCGGCTGCCATTCGCCCATATATTTATTTATTTATGGGTTCTCCTCGGTGGCAAAAATCCAAAAACAATAAAAGAAATTGAATTGCATATCAGATAGGACATCAGAGGGAGATACGGCCATAAATCGCACCGTATTTATTCCATAAATATCAGCGCCTCACAAGTAGCCAGCGCCCGTTACGAAGTTATAATCAGAATCTGGTCCCCCTTGACACTCACTGCCAGCCCCTCCCCATAGGACAAACAGGCTGGATCCCCAAAATACATAACAATTTGCTCAGACCACCTGCCCCCATTGATGTAGGCATCTGCTTGGCCTGGTTCCCCCACCCAAAGAGAAAGGACTTTGAGAAAGGCCGGGAAGTCACTCCTGTGATGGCTGCCTAGTTCCAAAGGCACAAAGCGTGGGGTTGGTAGGGAGCATCCCAGCGCCATTCACAGTGCTACAGACTGAGAGTTGATCCACCACGTTCTCCAAAGGCACAAAGCTTGGGGTTGGTAGGGGGCATCCCAGCGCCCCTGTCGCCATTCACAGTGCTACAGACTGAGAGTTGATCCACCACGTTCTCTCTTGGAACCACTCTTTGTGTGGGGGCTTGGGTTCCCTGCCATTGCTGTAACAGCATGCCGTAACAGAAACGACGGTTTATAACAAAGGAAGGTTTGCTTTGGTTCCCAGCTTTGCAGCTCTAGTCCATGACTGGGCAGCCTTGCTGCTTTGGGCCTGCGATGGGCAGCGCACCATGGCAAGAGCTGGGGGTTGGGGTGGGGCATAATCTGTGCTGGTGACTGGTAACTCACCCAGCAGCCAGAAGAATCCAGGGGAAGGGATTTCTCATTTGTTCCTCATTAGCATGTGTGAGTCACACCTGCATCGTCGATAACTGCTGTGCAGCTGTCCACTGTGGGAAGGTGCACTCATTCTCCAGCCATCCTGGGTGGACACTGGACCATTTCTGGTCTGAGGCTATCATGAAGAAAGCGGCTATGGACACGCTTATATGAGACCTTTTGTGAATGCCATTGGTCATCGATGCCATGTTCTTCAAAGTGGCTGTGACATTTCATCCCCCTACAGCAACTCCTGAGAATTCTAGGTGTCCCACTGGGCTCCACCATTCAGCAGTGATCGGCTGTGCACAGGGATAGCCATGGCTGTGACTTGAGATTTCACCACCGATCCTGACACAGCCGTCTGTTCAGGCTGCTTACCCTGGCCCATGACAGTTCTCCTACACTCTGCCCTGTCCCATCAGCCAGAGGGACTTGCTATCCCCTCACCCCTGTTGGCTGAGGACCGGGTTCTGGCTCCCCCACAATCCCTCCCTTATCACCTGCTTGCTGCCCCCTTCCCGCTCTGGCTCTGCCTGCCCTTCCTCCTACCCTTCCTTCCTCCAGCCTCTCTGGTCTCTCTGATGTTAGCTTGCTGGTAGTTGCAGTGACACCCGGGGCCGCAAGGCAGGGGAGGCTATTGAGGTGAGGCTTCACCCCACTGTGTTTTCCTGCCGCAATAGGCTGCCTCCCCACAGACTCAGGGTGACAGGCTCTGCCAGTTGCCAGGGGCTCAACCAACAATGGAGATATAAGCCCGGCAGGCAACTGATAGGAGCTGCCTTAGCTC